TTTTAGTAGATTATAGTTTTAAGAGAATTCTAAGGAATTTCTCTTGTAGAATAGATCTTGATTAAGATCTATTAATTCATCTTGTTAATAAACTGAATATTATATATGTCTTGAAATTACATATTGGAATTGGACTATATTCTAGCTAGTTACAACAAGAACACTATCATTACCTATCTTTAGATTAACTTTGAAATAATAGTAGATATATTCTTGTTAATAAATCTTTTAAAGACTCTCAAACATCACTTTAAACATGTGGTCACTTTTATCATGTATTTTTATAATATTAGATTTAATACTCACCCTCATCTCAGAACTCGTACCAAAAAGATAACAATATATATTAAAGTTAAAAAAGATTATTTTAAATATTGAATGATTAATAAAATTTATAATTATAATATTTATTTTTAATTAATAATAAATGTATTTTAACTTATTTATTAAATTATACTTATTATATATATAAATAAATTTTTTTATAATTATTATACTTAAAAAAATAAAATTAATAAAAATAATAATATATTGATTTTGAATATAATAAGTATTTTATTAATAATATTAATATATATAATTTTTATTATATATATTAATATTATAAATAATAAATATTTAAAATAAATATAAATTTTTTATAATAAAAAACAAAAAATCTGAGAATAATTATTATTATTTAATCTTGTTATATTAATATTATTTAAATAAAATTTTACTATATTAAAATATAATTATACAAAAGAATTTTATTTAAATTAATATAAAATTTGTTTTTATTATAGATAATATATAAATTTTATATTAAAATTTTATCATATCAAGATTTTTATTATATGATCAAATTATTATATTTAGTTTTGACTATTTCAATAAATTCGCAAAATAAAAGTTATTTAAAATGCAAAAATTAATAAGATAGTATATAATTACTAAGAAAATATAAATGAAAATTAATCAAAGATAAATATTATATATAAATATTTTATTTAAATTTTTCTTTATTAATATCAAAATACTATAATTTTAATATCTTATTTTGATTGATTAAATTATAAAAAAATCAAATATAATATAAAGATAAACTAATTTATTTTCTCAATATTATCCAACTCTTTAACATTTCAGTATCTATTATATATACTCTTTAGATTGATTTAACTATAGCAAGTCTTTAACTTTCAGTTCTTTTTGTTGTTCCATTTGCACATATTCTATATTTAACTAATGACTTTTATAATCTTAAATTTGATTTCTTTGACTATATCCTGAATATATAGATAATTAATAATTTATTATTATACACGCGTTCATAAAAAATGCGCTCATATGATAATAAATATGAATTTCAAAACAAGTAGCAATAGTTAAACCTGGTGCATCTTTTTCTTTTTCAAGTTTATTTATTATAACACAGATCTATTTAAAAATTAAATAATGAAAACTTATGAATATTATTATTGACATTATATGCAAACACTTACTTAATATAAAAATTTAAAGTCATACTTTCAGAGTTCTTTTTACAACCAGTTTTGGCAATGCTATAGACAGCATCTAAAGTAAATAAGAAAATTTAGAGATTAATGTTTAATGTTCCGAAAACATTCTGATTTTCATTATTTTGATTCTGCTCCAGAAAAAGCGACCATTTTCGGAATATACTCCAGAACGCTATCCGAAAATACTTATATTAGACTTGGTAGACTTTACTAATAGAAACGGCGTACTATCCGATAGTTTTCAATTCTATTTGTAGAATATAAACCGAAATTTATTAATATTTATCAATTGTTTCTCATTATACAAAAACATACGACATAGCGTAATTCCTCCTCACACAACATCTTGAAGTAAATAATTTAAATATAAACTTATCTCGCAAAATGAACCTATAAAAAACGCGAATTTAGTAATTTACAAAGAAACCCTCCCACAATGTAGAATAACATTTCTCATATACAACTTATAACATAAAATCAGTAAATACCAAAAACATCGCGAGTGTCGTGTTTGTTTATTTTTCTATCTTCTAACAAAAGATGTTGATTTTATTATTAAGCAAGCTTAGTTTATAACGTATCCCTTTATAATGTCCCCTTAACGCTCAGCTTAATTGAAATGCTATTAATATTTTATATTATTTCATTATTTCATATCTTACGATTAGCCTGGTTTGCCTTTAAAAAATCACATGAGCTGCCCTTTTTTATTCTGTGAAAAACTGCAATATTTACTGAATGCTGAATTTTTTTTGAAAAGCGCGAGTTTTATGATCAAGCTTTATATTATTTTATTTATGCATGAGTCTCGTAATGAATTATTAATGCTTGCCAGTGGATAAGAAATCCAAAAATATGGGCCAAATACAATAGAAACGGTGCAAATTTTATTAGAAATTCTAATAAAATTTGCACCGTTTCTATTGAGCTTGGTCCCTATTAGAAAATCATATACATGTACATGTAAAATGTTTTCATAATTTTAATGGAACAAGCATTACATGTAGATATACATGTATAACTGTAACTGCAATTGATCGTTGTGAATATATTATCGTTATACATGTGTGTTTATTTATTAGTAATTACATGTGGTAAGGCAAATCGGATTGTTTTCGGCTCAAATTTAGCTTCAGAATATAATCGGTTTATTTCAAATTTATTCGGAATGACTAGATTAAGTTAAAAATTTTAAACTTTGATTAAATAGCATCCGGAATATAATCGGAACATTTTCAATATTTTCGGAAAATTTGTAATATATTCGGAGAAAAAATTGGAGTATATTCCATGAATTTTTTTATAAGGATGAGAAGATAAAATAAATAGAAAAATTATTATATATCATAATATATTAACATTACATGGTTAGTAGTTAAATATAGGCACCTCATGAAACGTTATACTCCTGGCGCCAAGTATCGGGGTTGTTACAAGGATGTGCCTTGTGAAGATGATGATGAATGCGAGGAAATAATTCTTGTATGTAACGCAGGGACTTGTGGCCTAGTTCCTTCTATGGTATATTGTTAGAGTAATGACGCGTTCAAAGCATAAGCATTACTTCATTACAATTCAGACCTATATTTTATAGAAATTGTAATTAATTAAATTCACATATTTATTATTGGATTTATAATTTATAGTTTATTTGGGCCTAATACACTTTTCGTGAATCTGGCCATATACGATGTCATTATTCTAGTAACGATATATCTCAATATAACTGATTATTAACGTTAGTTGGACCAAATAGTGAAACATTAACTCAATCAATTATGTACAAGAATTCAATGGAATCAGAATCTGTATTCATATTATGTAACATAATTTTAACACTGCCGGAGTGTCCAAATTAATTGACCACTCAAAAGAGTTGCAACTTCGTTTTTTAAATATTCTTATCATTGTAATTAAGTCAATTAATTACTATTAATTTGAATTTCTTCATTAGTATAAATCATAAAGTATTAAAAGCTATTCTTATACAATTACATAAATTAAATAATCACCAAATTTTTATTCAAACTATTATTAAAATAACATCATGCTTCCCTTCCAACTAGTAAGTCGAGCGCTCAATTCAGCAGGTGTAGGCATTTGATCTTGCTTTATCATTTCGCTGGCTGCTCGCTTTTTCAAACGATTGAATTTATTTACATAAAAATCATTTCTTTAGTCTTTCTTAATGCGATTTTTGCCGTGCAAGAATTTATTATTTATGATTTTACCTTTGAGATTACATTCTAATGATAAACGATTTTTATTAGTGGTTGGAAAATACATTTCATTATCATTAATATTATCTTGGGATTTCTCCTTTTTCCAGATGTTTATTATTGTGGGGTTTGCAATCACTATGTAAATATCATTAAGTAATCTTTACAGATGCTCAAAATATATTTACTGACATATTTACTTTTTACCTTTAGTTATTGCTTTTAAAATTTGCTCCGGAGATCGGCATTTTATTATAGCGGCTCTGTTGTGGTAGAGAATCCTAACAACGGGACTACAAAACAACGTAACCTATCCTAATTTCACTATCGTTATGAACTTTGAATTGTGCTGATCGATCAGACAATTACTACTACATGTACTATTTTTGGGATAATTAATAGAGGCCATATACTTTTGGATGAGTGGTCGTTGGGATCAGGAATTTTTGGCTTGCTGATGTGGTAACTGTCCTTGCCAGTATATTTCATACTTATGCCGAATTATTGATTGGTTGATGGGTTAACTAAAATCTGCGCAAGCTGATCAAAGTATAATTATCCAATTTAGAGATGCACTTGGTACATGTAAATCTAAACGAGCAGTAATTTAGATGCTATTACTACTGATCAATTATACGGACGTATTTTCGCAACATAACAATGTTTACTATGTAATTCCAAAACGATAATTAAAACTTTGGAAAAAATTAAAGAAAGCCGTCAGGATAACTCATACTAAGAAACAGCTTAGCCAATTGAATACGCAAGCATACGCAATATATCATAAGAATTCAATAATAACAAAGGTTCCGGCATTGAAATTCGACAATTGCTTCTATTGATGGATTGTCGTAAATTTCTCCTGATATGAATTATGAACATGGTGAATGGTCTTTCATTGTCATAATTTTGTACGAGTAAGAATAAATTCAGGAAAAATCCAAAGTATTATCACCTACCGTATCCCAAATTCTTTTTTTATAGGTACTTGATATTCGTCTTTTGATATCTAACTATATGGCTCTCTTTATCTTTGATTGATTTTTCATTTTCTTGCAGACGGTAAACATAAAAAAAAAAAAGGCTAAATTCGGCATGGAAAGAATGAAGTTCATTCAGATTATTCTTTTGAATGAAAATTTCATTGTCCATTAATTGAATAGCAGTTGCTAAAAGAAGAAAATAAGCGGTTCTATTAAAGAATAATTATTATATATAGAAAGCTGCATGTATACATATTTTGTAATCAATTCTGGCAAAACTTGAACGACAGTATCCATCCAATTCGAATTATCTCTTGCTAAAATAGAAAAAATATTTGAGAAATTCCTCTACATACAGTGGTTCATAAAATAAATGGAACACGAATGGTCTTACGAAAAAAAATTCTAGTGCCTCTAACATCGATTAAATATACCTAGTGTCCTCATTTTAATGCTAATAACCTAGAGAATAACTAAAAGAAAACCTAAAAAATACATTAATGTTGCTATTCTAATAATTTACATGAGTAATGAAATTATAACTCCAAATAGTTTTGTTATTTTGCCGAGGAATATGTAGACGAGTAGAACAATTATTATTAATGATGAAAAATATTTACCAATTAACTGGTGGGTGAATGATCTCTCAACTGGTAGACTTAATGATTGATCTGGTCAAAAGAATAGTCTATTGGTTGACTGAATGATCTATCAATGATGCACTTCAATTAAAACTTCGTTTGGATCATTATCGGGATTTTTTTTGAGAATTAGAAGCCATTTTTTTATAAAAATGAATATCATTAAAGGGTATTGGTTTTTTGGATTATTTATAGGCTTAAATTAAAGTGATGAAATACTTCTCTGAGTGTTTTATAAAAATTAATGTTGCATCATGTTGTTCCACTTTTTCTTGAAGTGTCTTTCTTCGTTTTCATTTTAATTATCGAATGTACAAATAAATGACATGTAATAAAATTTTGATCGTTATCATTTTCATTATACATGTACATACATGTTAGTGTACCAACCAAATTCCAATATTAATATGGATATGTAATGATTATCGTTATCGATTTAGTTATTACATAAGGAGAATAGAAGGTTATTTATTCCATATTTTGTTAACGTTATTTCTTGTGTGAAATAAACATATCTGCTATTTAAAATATAACTCATTGTGCCTTTGATGTATTCAATAAACATTTATGTGCAATACACACATGAATTTTTTCCATATTAGCCTACTCAGTCCGGTTATACAGGGAATTAATACCAAATAAAAATATTATCTTTTATTTGTAAATATAATGTTTAACATTTATTTATTACAACTAAATTTTGCGTTAATACAACATACGTATACTGTTGCAATGTAACATGTGAGCATATGTGTAGTTCATTCTTGTTTTCAATCTTTATATATCATTATATGTAACTAAAAATAGGAGTAATAACAGCAATTTCATTTTTTTTTGAGTGTTAAAAAGCATTATATGTTAGAACAATTTTTTTTACACCAATCAAATGCAGTCACTCTTTAATAATCACGCGCCTGAAGAAATTACAAAGTCACCAGACACCTATTTCTATTAATTATCTTAAGCATTCGCAAAATAAAAAATAAATGGACACATAAATATGTATGCTCCAAATTGATCCAGATATTAGCGCAATCAAGCATTTAGGGAATGATTCAGAAGTGTATGTCGAGAAATGGAAAACAAGCGTTAAGGAGACTGTAAAAAATTAATTGAGATTATGCCCTCATACACATCCAAGATGTCTCGAAAATCTGTGTAATTACAAGTTGTCAAATATTAAGAAAATATCCGGTAACTTTCTTCTACCGAGTTACATGAGCACATGTACAAGGGGTCTTCTTATTTTTTTTATCGTTGTAAAATTATGACAATATCGATATGCATAGAGCAGATTACAATAATACATGTAACATGTCCATTCATGCTTTTAAGCACGTTTCACCTCCGTGAATGTTTGGAAATTCATCAATGGTGTTCAAAAATGGCAATACTTCTTTTATATAAGGAAGCATTTAGATTGAGAACTTTATCTTTATTACATGCATTATCACAATGGAAATACAGTGAACTCTCCATAATGCACCACGACCACGGGAACCAGGTGCATTAGAAGCGGTGTGCAATTTTATAAGTGTTATTGAGGGTGCATTTTGTAGAGGGTATACATTTTATAGGGGGCGTTTTGAAAGTATCAGCAACAATCATGATCCAGATCAAATCTCTATGTCTATATCGATATACATGCATAAAAATACAGTAAACGAAAAGATAGTATAATGTAATAGATTTTGATATATTATCTCTAAAGAAGCGGAAAAAAACGAAAAGTTTACTAAATATTTGAAAGAAAAGCCGTGTATTTAGTGAGCGTGGTTTTTTATTTGTTACTATTTCCATAAAGTCTTCTTGGCGCTTTCTCGACAAGATAGTAGTATTCGATAAATAATGTATTCGAGATGATAGGAAAAGAAAATTCGGAATCAATGTTCTAAGAATATGATTCCAGGAGAATAGCAATGGTGTCATTTTCATCTTGGCTTGTTGAATTAGAATCTCCATTGAAGATATTTGAAGTTCCTTGCAACAGATTTTGATTGTGTGGAAGAACTCGAGACAAGTAATTCATTTTTTGTTATTGAATATGATTGAAAGAAAAACTTGAAAATATATTCATGGCGAGAATTGTTCCATGAATTTATATCTTTTAATTGACAGAATTTAAGTTTATTTGCAGTTATGCGTCTTTCTTAAAACGATGGATGAATAAGAAACAAAGACAAGAATGACAATAAAATAGAAAACAATTGTGAGGTTAATATATGTGGGGTATAATATTATCATATCATATTAATAATAATAATATTATTATATATAATAAACTGTCAACTTTCTCTAATGCAAGCTCCTAGGAACCGGATGAGAAAGCATATACAGAGAAATCTCCTTAAATGCACCTATATATTTCTGTCCCAACTTCTAATAACACTTACAAAAATTGCTTCTCTATGAATGCACACCCATTCTAAATACCGTATTTCGCATTCATGAATACCCGGATATCTAACATTCCACGGGTAATGTTAAGAAAACACTTAGTAAAATGGGGGTGGGTATACTATTCATGGATGCAAAATACGGTACACTGGGATGCACATCATCTCTAAAATGCACACTTATATCTGTTCCAAGCGGGTGCATTTAGGGAGAGCTCTCTGTAATGAATAACTGGTGTCTGGACATCATGTAGGATGTGTTTAGGGAGGTCTCACTAATCTTTCTTTCTTTCCTTCTTTCCATTTTTATCGCGCCTAACTAATTTGAATCGAAATAGTACATTGGCAACAATAAAATGCAAACATTCAAGCGTGAGAAAAGAATACATATAGTTCATTTTCTTAAATAGTATTCAAACTTTTGGATCAAATGATTCTTGCAGTATTAGAGAAGATAAAGAAAATGAATGCAAGTTTTCTCACCTGTAGGGGCTACAGCAACTATAGAATAGTTGATTACATGTACCTTTATGACATACAAGATTGTACCGTCGATATAAGGTTCAGTAGACGGCTTCCCGTACTGATAATATTATATTTTTTCGAGAATAAAGCAGCAAACTATTCGCAAATCTAGAAAGAGCGATACAAAGTTTGCTTAATATATTGAACGGATAAATGAATTTATTTTATTAATTTATATTTTCTAAGACAGCATTCATAGATAAATTCTTATGAGGGATAACAGTGAATTCGCGCATAAAAGTCGTTGCAATAAGAAATCGGCTGGTTACCATAAAAATTAAGATTTTTCTGTAGCATGAGCCAACAAAAACTACCAAAAAATAAATGTTTGTGCATACTTCGGAGCAAATCTTCACTTTATCTTTTTTTTCAAATACAGATAAAAATAATCGTATAACAACATATAAAATCATTATGTAACTTTAATTTTTCCTCACTTTATATATTCTGTGCCTTTGGTTTGTTTTATACGTTAATTGTTTGTACTGTTACGTATTGTGTGTATTTGCAGATCAAAACTATCACAATGATAAAATCAATTAGGAATTTTCGAACAAAAAGTTCAACGAATAATTTTTCATATTAAGTTATAAATCATAAAAGCGCTCATTGATGCGTGACGTAAAATAAATGGAGCTGTAAACAAAGCTGTGGTGTCATATACAGTATACAGTATACAATACACAGTATCGGTATATATATATAAAATAATAGCAAAAGAACAATATAGAAAGTTCGGGTGTAAATTAAATATTTCTGATTTGCGTAACATCTAGGCCATTCTTGATAATCATTGAGTAATCAAGAAGGTTTTGAACTTATAAAATTAAATCTATTAATGTTATGCACTACTAAGTACAGTCGTACCCCTAGTACATACCATTTAAATGGATATTTTTTGGTTAACCTTTCATATATGAATGGGCTTAATATGCTTATTGCATATTTCCTCTAAATGCATATTTTAAAAATATCCTGAGAGTGTGACTGTATTCAAAACATTTAAGATTTTAAATTTCCAAAATACGTATGATTTGCCTGTGAGTAAGACTGCTGTCCATCCGGACCAGGTTGATTGTTTGCAACTGTAAGGAAATTTTGGTTTGGAGACAACTCTTGTTCTGTGATCTCTGCTACCGGCACAATCTTATCTCTGTGAGTTTGAGCAAAATACCTCATTAAACATTACGAGTAAGAGAAACGCGCACTTTATAAATGCACAGTATGGTTTGGCCCAACTAATAGGGCTTTATATATTTGCTCTCCGCAAGTCTTTCCCCAAATGCACTCTGCCTTTTTTTTGCTATGATTCCAAGGGGATGTGCATTTAGGGAGATTTTTATATACTTTGTTAAATATGCAATGACATTGACACATTCGTTTGATTTATAGCTATTAATCGTGCGGACTCGTAAATGAACGCATCTATTCTCCCGTTATTCCCAAAATCTCGTTAATGGAATTTATTTTCTTCAATACACACACTACTGCCTATAAGAAATCGATGCACGTAAAACGCGTACTTTACGTGCATCGATTTCTGATAGGGACAATATATTATCGGAAGTCTCAAAAAAGAATCTGTCACTTTTGGAACCCGATATCTCAAAATTCAGTAGTCCCTTATGATTCGTACATTCGAGCCCATCTAATGGGGATATCTTCATTTAAATTGGATCACTGGATTTTGGATTCCATAGTGACAGATTCGTTTTTGGGATTCCCGGTAATATAATGTAAGATGTGCAGTTGAAATAATTTTTTTTTGTTTGAAAATAGAGAGCAGTGTTATTTATTCTACCGGTCATTATATGAACATCTATTCAATCTTATCCAGAAAAATAATACGTATCTATAAAAAAGATTAGCATAATGATGTAAAATTTTCTCGATCTAAGAATTCTACAATTAGAAGTATTCTAACTCATGAGGTTTTTGCCGTTTGTGCAGTTTGTCGTTTTTTACCCTCAAATGGCTCACAGTATTTATTGTTTTTTGACGTTTTTTATATTGGATGGTCTGTGCATTAATTGATTACGTATTGTAAATTTTAAGGGAAGAAAATCACCACAATTTCAGACTTTGTCAGTTATGTAATGGATTTCCCGAGACTACTACATGTAAATCAAATTCATATCGATATCGATTTGCATGTACTGTACATGTACATGTAGTACACGTATAATGATTTTTATCAACAATAAATAAAATTACCAAATGTAGAGATTGTAACAAAAATTCGCATTTTCAACTTAATGGGCTAGAGTTGACTAGAAAAATTCAAAGAAATATATTTCGCAATAAACAATCACATTGTCATGATCTTTTTATCATAATCCTCGAAGTTTCAGCTAACACAGGTGGATAGAAATTTACAAACGTAAGCTGTTAGATATTTATTATTAAGCTTTTTCATATACATGTATTATTTTTGATAAATGTTTATTACATGAACAAGAGCTAACACAAAGAAAAATTATATAAATATATATATGCATCTTTGAGAAAAGTTCTATAAATCACTAAAATATTGTTCTTGACAGATAATGTTAATCTCCCCTTTTACAAATTGATTTGCCATTTCGTTATATAATGGATTTATATGTGTTTCTTCCGGCTGTATATGTGGATTAGGTTGAACATTTGAAACATATAATTGCTGGGCAGGTATTGGATTTAGTTGTAATGGCTGCGGCCGCCGCTGTTGGTTTGACTGTTGTTGTGCTTGAGTGAAGATGACACGTTGAGAGGTGTTATTACTTTGTTGTATTTGTGATGAAATTGACGCTCTTGTATTATTATTATTATTATTATTATTATTATTATTATTAGTGGATCGCGCGAACGGTCTTACGCTCATTTTTTTAAAAAAGATTTTATAGAAGTTTTTCTCACAAGCGGAGTTTAAAAAGAGAAGTGTTGATTTTCCAAAATGAAAATGATTTGGTTTGCTTAAATAAATGTCGATTTCGCTCATCAGGCAATAAATTCTTTTGTTTGACTAACTATTACACATATGGAAATCTTTTCTTTTGTATACAATGTTACATTTTCCATAATGGCGATGTGTATAAGAAATATAACGATAATGAATAATTCAGTAACAAAAGAATTTTCACTATATAAAGCGCATTTTTCTTTTGTTTGATAGATGATGTGTTCAGAGATGCATGTCATTAAAATCTTTGGTCACATTGGCATATGCGCCGAATATTGCGCAACGATTCTAAAACTCAACTAATAAATGATTAGTGATGATTATGATTCTCTGAATTAATTTTGCGCACATTGGTTCTCTTATGGCATTAATTTTTTGTCTAAAAGTTTCGAATTTTTATTTTTTATTCTTCCCCACAAAAACCCAGGCGCTAAAAATCTTGCATTTTTTTAAATGTGCGCTAAATTTCTGTATAGTAGAAACACATATCACGCAAACAAAATATCACATCATATTTTATTCTGTTCGCATCAATTACAATTAACGCGAAGTTCAATAGCGCTGTATGTTATCTTTGATATTTTTAAACATCAAATAAATTAATCATACGAAATTATTCGAAACGTTCAAAATGCATCCAAGATTTCTAGTTTTAATAATTTCGTTTATATATAGCAAATGATTAATAGATTTGAAAATTATTTCCACTAAAGCTATTCAAAACTTTTATAGAAGATCATGATTCATATAATTTGATTATTTCAAAATAATGATATCAAAATAATTCTATAACCTTTAAAACATGTTGACATAATATTGAGTCGAATTATTAAAACGATGAATACGTTAAACGAAAGAATCCTAAATACACGTATATATCCATTTGTTTAAAAATTTTTTAGTTTAAAATGCGCAACTTGCAATCATTGTATAACATTTCCATAAAGTCTAATATGACAACTTTTTATAGAATAATAAATATTCAACAAGCTCAAACTACTCAAGAAAGACAAGAGATTCTGCGATGAGATAAGAACTTTCGTGATTTCAACATTTTCAATTAAAATCCGCCATTGGGATTTTTTAAATATATTTTTAATTTTTATTCGGGACTCTCCGAAATGCAGAAATAACTGTTACTTATGTTCTCTCATTGGCGATGTGTGTTTTAAATAAAAAACTAGCCTTTCAATCGTTTCTAATAGTGAAATACTTTCTTTCTATGTGTCTTCGTATTCGTTTTACTAAGGGAATGTTTCCAAAATCAATTGAACTTTCCAAGATAATATAACGAGGAGTTCGCCCAGATGTTTGCAAATAAAATAATGACTGCATGAGAAAAACAATCACTCCTCGAGTATAAAAGCTGAGTAAGGTCGTATTTATTGAGCTAAAGCGCCAGTCATTTGCGAATGTTAAGATGTTTTCTACAAGTCACTTTCGTTATAGTGAACTCTCGATATAGTGAAGGATCTTTAAATTACAGTATGATTAAACTTCAACTCGATATAATAAAGTATTCTCTCGTTATAAGCTATAGTGAAGATTTTTTTCTCAGCCCGATGACTTCATTATAACGAGAGTCACTTTGTATATGATGCTATTTCAAAGCTATTTCATTATTAAATGACTATAGTAAAATCCATATTTTCAAAAGTCTTAAAAGTTACAACGCTTCTGGTTATAACGTTCATAGACAATGAAATTATAAGCTAGATCTAGAGGCACTACTAACGCTAATCTTTGATATCGTTATCGTAACTCATGTAAATAGTGCATCGCTGAGTTGAAACAAAATAACGCCCGATTTGGCTATATTGTTACACGACTTTATTGCGACTGACATAGGATGATGAGTGATGTTACACTATCAATGCCATTATGTAAAATTCGAAGTTCCGTAGAAGTTATAATGATTGCCATTAGGTTATTGACATTTATATTCCAGCTGATGGTTCTCAACATCTTACATATCGTTTTATCTATACCAATAGTTTCCAAGGCTCGTAACATTTAACCAGTATAAATCTCTCAACGCTTTTGTTTAAATTATCTTTGATTTTATTAAAATCCATCAAGAATAGCACTGCCCATTTAGAAACATATCCACAGTATAGATTATACGACAAGTTCTCTTTAAAGCCTCAGACAAGCATTAAGGACCATTGTCTATCTTTTCCACGTCGAGTGTATTTATTAACCGTCATGATAATGTTGATGTATCTTAATCAAATCCGAAAACTTTCTTCCTCAGAAATCATAATAAAAAGAAAAACAAAAATTTATGATCTATATGATGAAAAAGATGAGTAAAAGTCAATAATTATCAAATTCATGTAATCTTCGAAAGTATCAAATCATCCTAACTGCTCGTATTGAACTTACTTGGTAGCCAATTTAACTGGAGGACTGGCGCGATAGACCATGGTACCTAATTTAACTATGATTAAAAAAACGCACCCTCTCCCCGTTTATATTATATTTAGGCGTAGAAGAGGCTTATAATTAGGATTTTAGAAAAACCTGTGCTTACAGACTTCGGACAGTCCAATGTCCGGCAAATATGTGATATAATATATCTCTGCTCGTCTTCAACCAACCTATAACTAACTTTAATAAGAAAAAGCTTGATAAATAAAAACACACATCAAATCAAAAGACATAGAGAAACGTTCATGTACGAATACTCCATATATTTTATTTATTTCACCAATAATAGTAATAAGAATATAATAAATAAGTTAAGTTCTTTTTAAAATGTATATAATCAAGTGATACAAGAAGCATAATCATCATCATCATCATCATCATCATCATTGCTCAACATTATTATTCTCTGATAAAATAACTTATTTATATAAATATATTTTTCAAAATTTGATTTATAATTGTAATGATGTTAAGGGAGAAAACTCAATGAAATTTAAATGATCAATAGTCACCTTTCATCGTTTATCTATCAACAACCGATCATCATCAGTTCTCGTGACACAAGTCAACGTGATATGATCCATACTTCCAACCTTTTATTTCGAGCATACAGTTTATAAGCTGTTTCGAAATCGGTGCTGTTACAAATTGATATGAACTCCGACTCATCATCTTTATATTTCAATTTTCTTATCTCGGTGAGGCCAAATGCTTCTTGAATATCTTTCTTGATGTCTTCGTAGAGCGTCGAGATAGGAAATCGTAAAATACGTATTTCTTCATTCTCTTTTGCACCTACATGACATTTGATAATCATTTCATCCTGCCATATTATCGAAAAAAAATATAGTCAGCAAGATTTCAGTAATGTATATAAACAAAAAAAGAAGGGGACAAACAACTATTTACCGGCACAGGCGGTAACGAAGGCGAGATACGACCCCAATTTGTGACATGACTACCTCCTTGGCCTCCTTTATTCCTCTTATTCAATTGATAATTAATGTGAAGTCCACACAAATCAAGCGGTTGTTGTGGAGTTGCATCATTCGCAACTATCCTAATTTGTGTTGCTTTGTCTGTGTTGCTTTAAGATTTTAGAATTTTATTCATCTATTGCTATTGCGAGGAAAAACACGTGATAACTCACTCAGACTCTGACGAATCGTATCCTCTCCATCAGTGATGATTTCTCGAGAATCGTAAGATATCTATTACAATAAATCTGTGCATTAGACATCAATTTTTCAATAAGGAAAAATTCAATCATGCTAATAATGGAAGTCAGGCCAGCATTATAATGTTGATAGTGAGATAACACTTACCATATGTTTTGCATCAGGTTTAAAAATCAACACGATAGTATCGCTCTGTATTTTATTCACAGCATCAAGCACATCCAATGGCAAAAAAATTTTACATCGACCTTCATTGAAGAAAATACTAATAGTCTCTTGCATATACTTATAGCGGAATTTCAATAGTTTATAATCGTCCACGTTCTCCAATTGTTCCGTGTAATCCTCAATTTCAATTCGTTTCAGATAGAATTCCACATAATGATGCGGATTCAAATTTGTGCCCCCATTGACGGTACTGATATAATTGTTGATCGGTTGAGATGATGATGAGGCATAATTATTGTTGGTGGTGGTGTTGACGGCGGCGTTATCATCATCGATTGGACTATTACTAGTGCTACTGGCGTTGCGAGTATTTTGGTAGTTGGCATGTGTTATGTGATGATGAGTATTTTGGTAATATGGTCGTCTACCGGGTCTTCTTTTGTGAAAGGTTCCCCGTGGAAATCGTCCATTTGGACGCGTATTATCTGTATACACCTATAGTCGAGGTTAAAATTCATCATTATTATTTATTGTAGGTTAAAATGCAAAGGTTGTACTTCAAAGAAAGATATCGAGAAAAGAATAATGAAAGAATGAATCGTTGAATTTCTTTACCCAGTCAACAACGTCCCGTTTCTCCATTTTCACAAATATGAATTAAATGTTATTTTCCGATACTGCTCTCTAAACGGGAAGTTCTTCAGCCCTTATAATTTTCATCTAGTCAACAGCCTGTTAATTGAAGGTGAAAAAAATTTAGCGTGTTTACGATCGGTAGCAAAAAACAGAGGTAGGTAAATTTAATGCTTTGATAAATTAATTCATTTTATACTTTTACTTCAAATAATCGGTGTATTATACCTTAAATATGTCTCCAGTCAGAAAAAAAAGCCTTTTATTCCACTTAAAAAAACAGCAAAGCCAATAAATTAAAGGATCAAGCCTCTATTTATTTATTTAAGAAAAGTATTTATACACTTTGCGTCTTCAGCCAATCAATGAATATCACCGTGTGAAGGCGCAATATATATCTATCCAATAATGAGTGTCACAGACGCAAAGAGACACATACACGTGCGTGCATATCATGAAATTTGGCATGAACGTAATGAACGTAGTTACCGTAAAATCTGGTGAATAAGCATCTAATATTGCTGGTCAAACTGATTAAAATGCGGGCCAGGGTAGCTTAGGGAAGTGCTTATTCACAGGATTTTACGGTATGTGGGCAAGTTCAAATAAGGTAAATAAAAAATATCTTGTTATTTTTATTAATACAATAACTTGTTAATGTGGATACATTAAATTAGTAATAAAATTTGTTATAGCCAATAGTGACAATATAGTTATTGCAGAATTTAGAAGTTCAATACCCAGATAAGATTATACAAAACCGGACTCAGTCTAGTATTTAAGGATGATGTAAAATGCGTGAATGATACCTAAAGGGTTTTTCATAATTCAGTTATTCGATTCAATGATATATTGTAATCATAGCACAAACTCAAAAAAAAAAAAAAATTTTACCAGGAATATATCCAAGTATTGTGAGCAATATATTTATCACTAAATCGATACCGCATCCGCGTTCCATAAGTACACCGAGTGGTGGCAACAAGAGTGCAAACAAGAATTTGAAAATATCGCTGAATGTTAATGCCATTTTGTTTTATTCGTCGGTTTTCTTTTTGAGTAGTTGTTTGGTTTGTTAGCGATATTAAAAGAGAAGGATTTTTTGTAGTATGTTTAATGACACCTTTCTTTTATTATAGATGTAAAAATTCAGTAGCTTATCTTTTTTAAAAAAAAAACTTTCGAACAACACACTGCTTATATAGCCAATTTTTTTCTTGGTATCGGTATGTAAACATGGGCGCATGATTTCATATTTATTTTAAAAGGATCATATTGACGTAACTAATAATAGTGTGTGCATGGGAAAAATTTTCTCTGATATATTAGATTATCATACGATCGGCCGATAAGTGACTCGGATAATTGCTTTCTTGTGCATGTTCATGAAGTTGATTAGTCACCTAATTTATAAATTAAATAATTCAAGTGTTGTGAAAGTTTATTACTTAATTCTGGCCAAAATTATAAATTCAGCCTGTTTTCATAATTTTTAACATGTGCACTTTAGTGAAACATCATTGAAGGAGACTTTGTTGTGGCAGATCTATGAGGTGCCACATTACCGTATATGATATAACTAACCAAAAACAACAATCATTATTATTTATCGGTATTAATTATGCCCTTAACGTTAAGTAAATTTAATTGATTTTAAAGAAATCTGATTAGTTTGTGTCACAGGAAAAATTCCGTTTTATTCCGAAATTTTTTATAAGCATTAAAACTACGTTCTACACTACATGTTGAAATTGTTAACTACATGTATTATCTATTTCACTAATTGAAATGAAAATTTGCTTCAATATCAATTCAATTTAATATTATAATAAATTGTCCATTATTGTAAGCTGCCATAGATGCATTATTAAGTGTCGAATTTAATGTTTGTTGTGTTATTTGTACAAGATTATGATTTTTTAATCTGCTATATTAATATGCGAGATACATGTACACTCTGTTGTCAAAATTCTGCAATCGACGACGTAATTAAGGGGTAATTTCAAACGTCTATTGTGCGACAAGGAAAGGTTAAATTACGACGCACATTACTTCATTAGAAAGCTGAAATCTCAAGCTTTCAAATAAAATAAAATAAAAAAACCGATGTCAAATCCAACTAATACTCGTCAAACTTACGAACTTACAGATTTTGAACGCGGTGAGATCATCGGCGCTTGGGGGTGTGGTTTGTCTGAAAAAAAGATTGGAGATACTCTGGGACGACCCAAATCTACTGTTCATACTATTATTAATAAATACAAAGAGTTTGGCCAAACTACAGTTGCCGCCCGGCGCGGTAGACCACAAAAATTAGATTATAGAGCTACTCGAAGGTTAATTAATATTGTTAAAGATGATCGACAAAAAGCAGTTGACGAAATTACCAAAAAATTCAATACTGCTATGACTGTAACTGTTAGTTCCAGTGCTATATGACGTACTCTTCATGAATATGGGAAAACCGGCAAAAATGATTAAAATGATGCTCAGAAAGAAAAGATTGGATTAGTGAATGGGAATTAGTAATTTGGAGTGATGAAGATACCTAATATTCCAAAATGATTCCTGGCAATGGGTTTGGTGCTGACCACATGAAAAATACGATGTTGATTGTCTTCTTGGTATGAAATTGGCAATCAGGGAATAATGGTGTGGTGATGTTTTACTCAAAATTCACTTGGACCATTAATTGAAGTTAAAGGTGGAATAACTGGTCAAAAATATATAGAAATAATGGAACAGAATCTTCTGCCATTTCTAAATGATTTGCCAGGTAGTTCTATTCATCTTTTTCAAGATGATAATGCACCAGTTCACAGATATAATGCAGCCAGTCAATGGAAAGAGGAAAATTTAATCACTTCACTTTCATGACCTGTCCAGAGTTCTGATCTAAATCCAATTGAGCATTTGTGAGATGTTTTGAAAGATGAATTCACACATGTCTAACTCATCCAAAAATCTATCTTTTGGACTTATTAATGTACCAATAATCTTCATAATTCTAATAAATAATATTTTTCATAATTACCTAGACAAATTTGTAATCATATACTTGGATAATATTTTGATTTATAGCAAGATAAAGAAAGAACACATACAATATCTTTAAACAGTCTTGAAAATACTTTGTAAATATAAGTTATATGCTAAGTAAAAGAAATGTGACATAATTTAGCAATATGTAAAGTATTTAGAATATTTCATCTTGGCAGATGATATTTCAGTTGATTAAAAAAAGATAACTGCAATTAGAGATTGGCCAGCACTAATTAATATATCAGAATTTTACTTATTTCTTGGATTAACAAGTTATTACAGAAAGTTTGTAAAAGGATTCTCAGCAATAGCATTATTACTTATAATACTCCTATACAAGAATAAAGATTATGAATGATCTATCATAACACAACAAATATTTGATACTTTAAAACAATAATTTATCTTAGTATCAGTTTTATTATTATCAGATCCAAAGTTATCATTTACAGTAATTACTAATGCTTTAGATTTTATTGTAAAAGCTATATTAAGTTAAAACTAAGACAAGAGTAATTAAGCAATTGTATTTGAGTTAAGAAAACTTTCATTTATAAAGCAAAATTATTTAGTTCATAAAAAAGAATTACTTGCAATATGCATATTATTAAACTTTGAAAACTATATCCTAAAGAGTAAAAATTTATAGTTATTACAGATCATCATCAGAAAATTTTTTGGAAAGATATTCATCGAGAATCATCACCATATCTGTAAAAATCGATAAATATCTCTCTGAGATATTGATATTAATTGACGACTCCGATAATCTTTGATAAACATCCATATTGATAATAATCAATCATTGTTAGTACATTATTTATCGATATATAATAATATATCAATCATTATCATAATATATTATTTATCGATAACAAATGATATATGTTAACAGTTAACTCAAATACTTATTTTAAAACCAGTTTATCATATTAATATCGGTTTAGCTTATATAACCTAAATGAACACGTATACACTCACACATTCAATTATTTTCAAGACTTAAAACTTCTAAAACGCTTTTTATTTAATATTAAAAAATATATTT